TTTTTTTTTTTTTTTTTTTCTTTCTATATAAAGATGAGCGAAGATAATGATAGCTAAAGTTATCATTGTAGAATGTGTGAACCTCCATTTGTTACAACACTAAAATTACGTAGGAAGTATGTATCGTAAACAAAATGAAAATATGTTATACATAGTATATGAATGGTATAATCTTCCCTTTACACGTGTTGCTGGCCTTATTGCAAGAGATCGATCTCCCTATTAGATCATCAGAATTAGGTCGTGAGAACATGCATATTTTGTCCCCAAAGAAAAGTTGGTTAAAACAAGAAAAACCATCTTTCTATGCAGACCTCTGTCAATTATCTTATGCAAAACATTGGTTAAATAGAAACTTTTTTTAAACTTGTATGAAAGAGCTTAACCTATGCGGATAATATCAACCATGTTGTGGATTTGGTGGATTTTGTCCCACATTACACTATGTAAAATTATACATCCCATGAGCTTTACATATAACCAGAAACGTTCCAAAATTTAAAATTATCTTTGCGCTTGGGGCAATGACGCAGCTAGTGAGGTAATAACCGAGGCGCGTCAATTGCTGGTTGAAAACTATTTCCAAACCCCCTCTTCGGCCTGGGCTTGACCTTGGCCGTCGAGAATTTCTGGAAGGGTTCCCTCTCACGAGGGTAAAGCCCTGCAGTTAAAGTACAAGTATTTTATTTCAGTTTGTTCACATCAATCGTACATGAAATACTATATGATAATACATTGGATGCTGGCAATGAATGACTTTAAGGTGTATAATGTCATGAGACTAGCAGTTTCATGTTATAAATTTTAGAATTTACTCATGTAGTGATACATCCATGCTTAACAGAGCTTCTGTCATCAGACCTTACAATACCGTACCGTGGATAAATCATGTGGGCTTTGCTCGTGCAGGCCTGTTCAAATCCTGCCATTGACGAAAATAGTTCTTGAATTCATCGATGAGCCTTGAAATTTACTCAGATACCGTGACAATGAAACAAATAGAACATTTTTGTTTTCGGTCCATTTCAGCATCTGTTAATATATACGTAGTATAAACTTCTGATTTTAATATTAGCAATGTAGAGGATATGTTTATATAGATTGATGTAAAATCAGATTTAGCAGATATTGATCTTAGTTGCAAAGTAATCAAGATCTTTACATACGGAGTATTGGTTATTCAACTTTTCAATTGCTTATCTGATGTTGAATCAGAGCTGAAAGTTAAACTGCTTGGGTGCTAGCCCTGCTATGCACTTGCAAAATAACGATGATTATTTTAGTCCCACATTGCACAAAAAAGAAAGTTCCAGCTTCAATATTTATATAAAATGGTGCTCTAAAACATTTTTTAACTCACGCAGTCACGCAGTGAGCGCAGAGCGAACTATTCTTTCGCCTTTTACTAAAGAATACCGTGTGCTCGCTGCATTAAGTGGCATACGTTTATTTTTGGAGGGATAAGAACTCCCATTACTTACCAGTATTTAAATCGTTCTCTTTACATAAATTAACATTATAAATTGTTCTGAAATTATAATGGGCCTTAGCTATTCTGGACATGATTTTTGCCGTCACTGTACAATTTATGAGCTCTGGTTTGAAATTACAAATATGAATCGACCTCCGTAATAATCGGAACACTTTGACTTTTGCACGATTCATAAGCTTACTTTGACTTTATTTTTTACCAATATATAAAAAAAATGTTGCTATGTTAAATATTTTTGGATTAGTTTTTAAGTATATTTTCATCATATTAACCTATTATACTTCTTAATAATATATAAATACAAATTTTAATGGTCAATGTTGTGTTTTGGCATGTGCCGGTCAAAATGTTGCGATTATTATGAAACGGAGGGAGTACAACTTTCTATCCAATATGTATCTGAACAACTTGAGTGTATATTGAACACGACTAGAAATTACGTGGGATTTGGTTGCACATGTTTGAAATGAGAATAGTTTTTCCAAAAAATAATGCACTGCATGATTTTTGGAACTTAATTAGATTGTTATATTAAAGGTCACTTAAAAATTTGGACCATTTCTCGATTAGTTTATCAAAATGGTTAGATAAAAAAAATTTGGACCATTTCTCGATTTGTGCTAATACATATTGTTCCTTCTTGATATATAAACACTGTACTCTGTTTCAAATAAGCTGATGTGGGACAAAAATATATAAAGTTGCTCCCTATTCCCTATTGCTGAGGAAAAATCAGTCATACATACTACATCAAAATGAAAATTGTTTTCACCATTCTAACCCTCAATGAGGCAGAGGAAAATTTAGTCAAAAGGCTGCTTCAATGGAGGAAAGAAAGAGAGAGGAGGAATGCAGTGTAAAAGTGAAAAGTATCAAAGGAGCGAAAAAAACATATTATAGGAGGAAGATTAACACTGGAAAAATATCACAATTTCCGGTAGCTTTTTATTACTATCCCAACTTCTGCACAAATACATTGGAGGAACTCACAACAAAGATTCTAAGGCCACTAATCCCATCCTCGCACCGTGATTGCTTTGCCAGAATCTCCCTTATTGGCAACCGAAAACCTTTAAATATAACGCACTCTTTTCATATCCTTCATATATGGTACATTGGTAAAGGTAATTTGATACATCCAATAAGCTGATGGTCGAATCAAACTATCAACTTCATATTTTTAGTTGGGGTTATGACATGAGATGTAACAACGCAGTGAAAAGGAAATCATGTATGTTTGATACGAGTGCCAACACAAGGCTTCTAGTTGCCAGATAAGTTGAAATTACAATTTGCTAAATGCAATAAAACCAACAAGACCCATTTTGGTTCATAAGAATATACAAACAGGACAAATGAGCAAAGATATTATCCGTGGGGTATGCAAGGCCAATGCTTATAAATACAAATTGTTGGGATGTGCCAGGCCAATGCTGTAGTGCAAAGCAATGGCGACACTCAAGGATTCCAATAGCAAGCTATTGTGGTGAACCCTTCCCCTTAAAAAATAAATTTAATATCATTGTGGGCCATTGACCCACATATCAGATGTTAAACTGATAAGAACAGATACTACACTTGATCTTAGCCAAAAGGCCGAGAAAGGTATGAGTCCAACACTCAAGGAAAATAGATTATATATGGTTTCACTGATGACCTCTAACATATTTCTTTCGTGTGGGATACAACTGGACCAACTTAAGGTAAGGAATAAGTTTAAATTATCCCCTTATATCTTTTGCATGAGTTGAAGCTATTCACCTTAAATAGGACTATAGGTAAGTGTAATATTTTGATTCTTCATCTTTTTGCATTAAAATTAAATTATAAAGTACTTCGTATATACTATGTACTTCGTAAATAAAAGTAGTGCTATATATGAAAATAAATAAAATTATGGTAAGCGCTCAACTTAAAAGAAAAAGACTGTATTTCGTATTTTATTAGTACTAAGGACAAATACGTTGATCCTAAATTATTAGGAAGTATTTCACATCTAGAAAAAAAATAAAATAAAAAATTGAGTAAAATTTCACAGATATCTTCTCTTACCTTTGACAGTAGACTTTCTTGAGTTTTGACACTAGTCAAAGACAATTTGGTCACAATACAGCAATACTAAATGAGTACTGTATATATATGACTGAAAGTAGACTTGCATTTGATAAGAATTTTATCATCAGTTCCTGTGTGACATTGTTTTATCTTAAAAATAAAATTTCCTTCTTTTAATAAAAATAACACAATATGTGGTACATGAAATATGCTTTGAAACCAATAACTAAATTTATCTCTCTCCCTAAGTTATGACTTCAATCACTAAGTGCATAGCCTTGGTTGATTTTATAATTACCGGAGTACGGCATACTAGCTAACCACTTTGGGAACCAACCTCTGAACTCTCAACTACTACAGACATTGGCAACACTATACTAAAGATACACTGGGATACCAATGCGACCTTCGGTTCCGCTACTGCCACACCCAATATACTCACCCTGCAAGCAGCCTGCTATGGTCCCATTAAATGCCCAACAAATGTGGATCTACAATTATCTGCTCGTACGATTCTTATGTACTTGCACTTTCAGAAACAAGCTTATGATTAAATTAGACAGGGGCCGCGCGAACGCAGGCCCCCGCTACCACAAATTATGACGTAGACTCTCCCACTTGGGGAGATCTTAGGCTGATGCTCTTCCTAAGTGCAATGGAAGCCATCACCCTAGGCCATGAGCCTTCTTGATCGCCCATTGACCCCGTCCAGGTAAGTATGTAATCCAGTGCCACCCAAACGCTTCTTATACTAGTTTCTCTCTCTTTTGTTCTTTAGTTTTCGATGTGGGATACATTCTGAAATTTTATTGTGTTTTGAGAATTTCTTTTTCTTCAACTTGGAATTTCAGCATTTACGTATAGTACTTTTGATTATGTAAGTAAGTTTTTGTAACAAGTACCTCTATAATTAGTTACTGGCTATTTCAAGAACATTGTAAGTTAATTTGCTAGAAATTACACTATAAATTTGCAACTTAAAACATTTTACATTATAACTTCTAAAAGGTAAATATGACACATGAATAAAATTATGAAAGATGCAAGTGGTTAAATCCATACAATAATTGAAGATAAAAAACACATCCTATATCTTAACATGACCTTGTATTAAAAACAATCATAGGTATTAATGGAAAATTATGTAAAAACAATTATATCGAATACAATTCTATTGATTGCTTTACTTGATTCATTTGGATTCTCGACCAAACTATATTTGACTTGCACGTTATCATATCATATGACACTTAACCATTAAAGTCTTTATACACCCGTTTTACATTTTTGTTTTAATATCAAGCGATCAAGAACCAAATCAAGCACCGATTTCTCACAACTAATCACTACTGTAACATTCATATAATAAAATACTGAATTTTTATAAAAAAACAAAGTTTAAGCCGAGATATTACTCGTAAAAAAATTACATCAATTCCGTCAATATAGCAACACTCTTAAGGTTTGGATTCAGGTTTTAAGTAAGAGAAAGTTTAGGTTGTTTAATTTGGTATTAGGGGACCCTCTTATCACATGAATTCCTCCACTCCTTCCACTTCAAGTTCACTACTTTTTCCTCACCCTTCTCTATCACTTGCAAGCTTGCAACATCACTTCCGGATAAAAAAGTAAATCCCAATTTTATCCTCCCACAAAATGGCTTTATTCTCCCTAACGTCGTCGTTTCACACCCCTCACCTCCCCAAACTCCGCCACTCACCTCCACCTCACCGCCTTCTCAGAGTACAAATCAGGTGTTCCACTCCCACATCGTCCGCCATGCCAACCACCGCATCATCCACCGTTCAATTCGATCTGCGCACATATTGGACGGCTCTGATTGAAGAGATCAATCAGAAGCTTGATGAATCAATCCCAATTTCTTACCCTGAAAGAATATACGAAGCTATGCGATACACAGCCCTCGATAAAGTCGCCAAGAGGGCCCCACCTGTTATGTGCATCACTGCCTGTGAGCTTTTCGGCGGTCACCGCTCTGCTGCCTTTCCAACTGCTTGTGCCCTTGAAATGGTAACCCCTCATTCTCTTTAATTTCGGTTTTTATTTATGTTTTGGGAAATTGTGGATAATGATTGGGATAATCATATACCAAATTGGAAATTTATGGGTGATATAGTTTTAAAATTTTAACTTGCTGGATTGTCTTTAAATTGATGGATTTAATCTCATTTTTACTGTTTGGGGATGAATTATGTCACGTATTACATGTACGAAGTACTAATTTTGGATGTTCGGAAATTTGTCAGTTTTTTTAATATTGCCCTTCTATTTGGAATGTGGTTTTGGACTTTTGGAAGAGTATGAGAATGATCAAATATAGTATAAAGGATTGCTCTTTCTTTTATTTAGCTAAATTTTTGTTGTATCCTAAAACTGTATCTGTGTGATTTTGTGGATGGAGGGAGTAGAATCGGTTCGAGGTTTTGGGTACTACTGCATGACTTTATTAGTTACTAGTTGAAATCCATTTGAATTGAGGGTTTTGTTATAGGTGTGGCTGTGTGGAAGAGGGTTTGGAATGTTGGGTAAGACTGCTCTAACTGTATCCTTTCCAGGGAATTGTTGAGGAGCATAGTTGATTTGTTGCAAGACGTGGTGATATACTTCATATATGATTTACATTGATCCTATCAAACTGTGTGCAAACTAAGACTGTTGATTTGATGGAAAACATTTCTTAGTGGAATACATAGTTATAAATTAATTTTCTTATATTTGCTACAAGAGAATTTATAGAGAATAGGAAAATGAAAGTGGAAAGGAGGAGAGAAATTGGGAGATAGGGAGTATGGAGGAAATTTATCTCCCTGTTTGCGCTAAAAGATAATGTGCCTTCCTTCTCTTACAAAGGATAATGTTTTCCACACTTTGAATTTGGAAAAGTTGTTTTTCTCTTCTTTAGCAACCAACCAAAGGACAAAGAGAATATCACTTTCCTTGAAAACGTTTTCCACCTAATCAAATACTTTCGAGGAGTATAAGAAGATAGGGGCTCATTTTGGTTTGGGCTGAATTGATTGTTCATTTTGTAGGAATTTGCTAGTATGAACAAAGAGGATTTCAGAGCACCAAGTCACTAACAAGTTACAATAACAACTACGAATTGCATTCACTGATTCGTTTATATGAGTATATTTTGTATCAAGTTTACTCATAGAGAGTGTCTAATTTTAATGATCTTTCAAAAATATGATTTCCTATTTTCCTTCATCTGGTTATTAATGGGATGAAAAATAGTTATCCCAAAGGTAGAACTTACCTTTCCCATAATTGGAAACCATTTTTCCTTTTGTAAGGAAGGTTAGCCACGATTTTCTCCCAAACCATGTCCTCCCTTTTTCTCTCCTTACATTTTCCTTTTCTATATAACGTTTCTTGTAATTAACCAGACCATGAAATTCTAATCTGTAGTTGTGTTTTCCCTTGAAATCATTTTACATTGAAAATGTTTTCTGTCAAACCAAATGGATTCTTAATGTCAATTTATCTTGTAACCTTGTTGATAAGATGTATCGTCTACTTCTGTGAAGTAGGAACGTAGGATCAGTAGAAATGGCATAAAACTATGGGCTCAATGTAGTCAGATTTGAGAATATGGCAAGTAGTCAAGAACAGTGACTTAGGGTTTGGACTTCTGAATTGATTTTATTTTTTATTTTATTTTTTTTCTTGTTGATATCTGAGGTTGGTTTGTGAGTGATTAATGAGAAGCAGAAACCATTGGACATTTATGCTCATGGAAGAATGTACATAAGCGGCGAATTGCTATTTCTTTCTTTGTTGTTTTTGTTTATTTCTTGTTCTATTTTGTGGTTGAGTGATTTTGGTACTTAACTTTCATTTTGGTAACCTAGTGTCATAGTGATACCCTGTGAAGATTAGGGGGGAAAATGAAGGAGCCAAGGGGTGCACCCAATCCAAATTACTAGATTAGGCATCAGACAAAGCTAGATAATAACCATCAAGCAAACCCGCCGGGTGGTTGACTTTTGTTTAAATCTCCATTTGAAGGTTGGTGGGAAATTCTATATTGAGTTTTCCCACATGATCTTGATTGACTCTGGCATCTTTATAGTATTCTAAGCGACCAGCTGAATTTTGTGCAATGGAAAACAAAAAAAACCTCTTTAAAGCGAAAGTTAATATGAGGAGGATTAGTGTAGTCTGTCCTCTAAGTGGCTCTATTGATTCCAATTCTCTTTTAGAGATGGATCTTATATATTCATTCTAATTTTGCTTAGTAAAGTTATTATGTAGAATGCTGTTGAGAATAACCAATTACTGCAAGTATACCACCCTCTAGTGTATTTGTATCAAAATTATTAACATTCTACTTGGAATCAGCATTTTCTTAATCTATTTCCTTTAGATTTTGTTAGGTCTATTTTGTACTCAGTTTTGCTAAACAGCATTTATGTGCAAACAGGTTCATGCTGCTTCACTAATCCATGATGACCTACCATGCATGGACAATGACCAAGTAAGACGAGGTCATGCAGCTAACCACGTTGTCTATGGGGAAGACATGGCAATTCTTGCAGGAGATGCACTTTTTCCTCTTGGCTTCAGCCACATTGTCTCACATACCCCGCGTGAACTTGTCCCCGAGACACGAGTTCTACAGGTCATTGCCGAGATAGCCCGAACTGTGGGATCCACAGGTATGGTTGCAGGCCAATTTTTGGATCTTGAAGGTGGGCCAAATGGTGTGGACTTCATCCAAGCAAAAAAGTTTGGGGAGCTTGCTGAGTGTTCAGCTGTGTGTGGAGGCATCTTGGCTGGTGCCAATGATGATGAGATCCAACGGCTCAGAAGATATGGTAAAGCTGTCGGTATTCTGTATCAAGTGGTGGATGATATTTTAAAAGAGAGAGCAAAGACTGAAAAGAGTGAAGGGGGGACGAAACGTAGAGGGAAAAACTATGTGAGTGTTTATGGGTTGGACAAGGCTAAAGAAGTAGCTGAGGATTTGCGTTCTCAAGCAAAGAAAGAGTTGGATGGTTTTGAAAATTATGGAGACAAGGTTATTCCACTTTACAGCTTTGTGGACTATGCTGCAGACAGAGGGTTTAGTGTCGGTGGGTGAGATATACGATTAGGTATGTTTTGCTTCTGCTCAACCTTAAGTAGGCCTATCAATTCCGAAAATGGCTTTACTTTTCCATCTATTTTGTAAATTAGGAGGTATGCAATTGTATAATATGTAAGTAGAGGTTGCAAATGGAAGAAATTTTACTACACGAGTGAATGTTTGTAGTGAAGCTAGATGATACCTCTTGCAAGTAAAGTAAATGGGGATCTGTAATTGGATATGGAGTTTTTATTTAGCCCCTTCTCAAGCTGAGGATTTTGTACTTTTTGCTATGCTAAAGAACTTGATCCCGCAGGAATTGTCTGCGGGTAGCATATTTGGGCTGTTTTGAAGACCTTATTGTTCTTTTGATAAGTTCTGTTTTAATGTTAATTATAAGAGAGGGCGGTTCTGAAATGAAGAATGATGCCCTATCTCACATATGGACAATATGGTCGAATCTGAAGGTTCCCCTCACCCCCTAATAATTTGCACTCATTGAATGAAGAGAACCTCAAAACGCCACTATGTATTTCAAGAATATCACCAAGTAAAATTACAATTTTGCAAGGATTATCGTCTGTTTGATGGTGTTTGTATTACATTTCTTATAGCTATTAAACTATTTTAGATAGGAGTATGAAAGGAGACTGGGGAAGGATGAAGTGAAAGTGATAATAAACGAGTTGAGTTCTCAATAGTTGTTTCCTAGGTTTAACTTTCATCTGAATTTATTTGTTACTTTGTTGTTGTAAGTTATACTATCAATGTGATAATTAATTCCGTACAGATAAACACGTGATTATTGCATCTTCTACAGCTAATTTGGGTGCATAGGAATTTCTGCCTTTGAGGGTGGTGGCCGTGGGTGTGGCCAAATACTAGAGTTTGGGTTGTGCAAAAAATATACAGTATTTAGTTTTAACTCCAACTATGTAAATTCAGCTAGAGGGAGTTACTCACATATGTGATAATACCACGGTGTTAAGCCGAAAGTGTGTGCTATTAGCCGGATCACAACAACGTGTCAATGGTTGACTGGTTGTAGTTGTGTCATAATTCACATTGTTGGAAATAATTTTGTCTTTAATTTAAGGAGCATCAATTTGTTTGATCTAGTTTGTTGTCAAGTACTCCTTCCATTCCAAAAATTTCTCATTTTGACCTTTTATAGTTTTATATGCTATGTTTAAATTGATTAGGTACTTTGAATATAGAAATGACATATATTATTGGACTAGTCTTCATATATATTTTCAAAATACTCCGTATGAACTTTATATGGAGTATATATATTTTGCAAACAAATGCTTAAAGATAATGATCAATACCATATTTCGGCACAAGTGCCCGAAAGAAATGAAGTTTTTTTTTTAATGCGGCGAAAGGAGTACTAGATATGAACATACGTAACCAATTCTCGTTGCCCCCATGCATTCTTATCATTAAACAACAGGGCAATTTTTATGCAGAAAATGGAGTACTAGATATGAATATACGTAACCAATTCTCGTTGCATCCTCTATCACTAGACAACATAGACTTATCGGTTGCATAGTACAGTATATAACTGAAATGTAAAGAGCTTTTTACACAATCTGTACATACATACATAATCTGTTTCAACTAATCAGATATGAAAGGATAGGAGTAGCTACATAACAAACTGACCCATCCAATTATAAATTTTATCTACATAACATCATTCTGCAAGCAAAAACGTCAGGAAATGCGGCTAACATTACATTTTCAACCAATTTTACGTTCACTCGTAAATCTAGCTACTTTGTTTCTCATGCATTTGTTTCTATATATACCTCTTATTGTTGTTCATTATACCATATCTTCTTCCAAATTGGTTGTGAATCTTTCAAAATCGAAGTGAAGATGAAGAGCTTTAATCTTGTCTCTCTTTGCTGCCTTTGTCTTTCACTTTCTCTTATGTTTAATCTTGCAGCTCCTGCCTTGTTGTTTCAGGTACATTCGTCTTGCAATATGTTTTCATTAGCACGATTACTCGATTATCTCTAGTTTTGTGAAAATTTTCAAGCATTTCATCAAAACACACACAAAATGTCACACATTTTTTAAAAAAGGAATGGATTTAGGGGGGTGGCATGTTAACATATTAGTAGAAAAGCATGAAACAAACATTTAGTAGGAATAAATTATAATTTCTTGAGGGTTAACAATGCCATTTTCCCTTATTTGGTTAACATTTCTTGACATGATTTGATCATTTGTTTGTGGTTTCATTGGCTAACTTTTGTTATTATTGATTGATGCGATTAGGGGTTTAATTGGGAATCCAATAAGAAAGGAGGGTTTTATAACTTCCTCCAAAACTCTATTGATGATATAGCCAAAGCAGGGGTTACCCATGTCTGGCTTCCGCCCCCAACTCATTCCGTTTCGCCTCAAGGTATATAATCATTGTTATGTTTATACATAAATTATATGAAACTAACGTACGAAGTACTAAACAAGTTGAACATATTTAGTGTTATCTTCCTACTTAAAATAATTCTTTTAAAGCTGTTGGGTGTTAATGTTTTTAATGTAAATTTCTTGTTGATTTCTAGGATATTTGCCTGGGAGATTATATGATCTTGATGCATCTAAGTACGGAACCAAAGCCGAATTGAAGAACTTGGTCAGTGCCTTCCACCAAAAAGGAATCAAGTGTCTAGCTGATATAGTGATAAATCATAGATGTGCAGATAAGAAAGATGGCAGAGGAATATACTGCATTTTCGAAGGTGGAACGCCTGATGATCGCCTTGATTGGGGCCCTTGGGCTATCTGCAGGGATGACACTAAATATTCCGATGGTAGCGGGAATTTAGACACTGGAGCTGGTTATGATGCTGCGCCTGATATTGACCATCTTAATCCGAGAGTGCAAAAGGAGTTGGTGGATTGGATGAATTGGCTCAAGTCCGAGGTCGGATTTGATGGTTGGAGGTTTGATTTTGTTAAGGGATATGCTCCTAGCATAACCAAAATTTACATGGACAAGACTAAGCCAGATTTTGCTGTAGGAGAACTTTGGGATTCAATCACTTATGATCCAGATGGTAAGCCAGACTTCAACCAAGACGGACCGAGAAATGAACTTGTAGGGTGGGTTAATGCAGGAGGTGGTGTTGTTAATGTGTTTGATTTTACTACCAAAGGTGTTCTTCAAGCTGCTGCTGAAGGAGAATGGTGGAGAATGAAAGACTCTGAGGGTAGGCCTAGTGGAATGATAGGAATTATGCCGAAAAATGCTATTACTTTCATTGATAATCACGACACCGGATCCACGCAGGAGTTATGGCCCTTTCCTTCGGACAAGGTCATGCTAGGATATGCTTACATACTAACTCATCCAGGAACTCCATCCATAGTAAGCACTTGAACTTCAAAATACGCGATATACACTGTTTAATCATCTAATTTATACCTTATCTAATGTGGTTTTCTGACTTTTTGTTTTGCAGTTTTATGATCATTATTTTGAATGGGGACTGAAGGAAGAAATCCTTAAATTGACCTCAATCAGGCAAAGGAACGGTCTAACTGAATCAAGTAGTGTGAATATAATGGACGCGGATGCAGATGCATATGTAGCAATGATCGATGGAAAGGTTATTGTTAAGGTCGGACCAAGGTTTGATGTTGGCAAACTTATTCCCTCGAATTTCAAGGTTGTTGCTATTGGTAAAGACTATTGTGTTTGGGAGAAGCAAGGCTAGCAACAGATGTTCATCAAATTCATGTGCACTATGCATATATACATGCAATGAAGGCTAAATGAATTCAAGATATCTATCTATACATTACCGTTATTTAAGCTTATCGATTATTTTTATACACTAAAACTTCTTCTTTGTCATTGTATGACATACGGAGTATTGCTTTTACAATTTAGAGAGCTCCATCATGCTGTTTTATTTAGCAGTATCATTTTAAGATTAATAATAACAATAGTGTGATGATGTTCACCTATTGAAGCGTTTATGGAAAAAATAAGTTTTAATGATCATACTATCTTTGTTTCTTAAGTTCAACTTACTTATTATTCATGCGATCAAAATAAAATAATTTTGATTGTATATTAAAATTAATACAAAAAATAAATGAGCATTGGGGATCTTGTTAAATTCACCTTAGTATTAAATTTTCAAATATCAATATATTTTTTTTTTAATAATAATTTTCACTTATATATGGGCGAAAATATTAATGGTCAAAGATGCACATTAAAAATTGCGAAAATGCAAAGTGAGTTGAATTTTTGAAACAAACGGAGTATATTGCAAGTTAAATCACGTTTTTATCAATCAATAACTATATACTAAAGGCGAAACTAGAAATGACACATGTCATTTCCCGGTTAAAAATTTTCCCTCCAAAAGGTGGGTTTTTTTTTTTTTTTTTTTCTTTTTTTTTTTGCCAAAGCTTCTTAGAGAAGTATTTAATACTTACTGTACAATATTATTTCTCTTCTTATTTTGTACAAATATTCCATTTATACACATTTATCAAAGATATTATTCTTTTATACAATACTATGCAATAATATTTTCTTATCTATAACTTTGTTATGTAATCCATTGTTATTTTTAATCATGCCGTGCATGTACTTCTTCCTCTGTTTTCTTTAGTGTAATATATATATATATTTTTTTTAAATTTTATAATTACAAAACTTTTATCCAATTTTGCAATTAGATATAATTTTTTTATAATTAAATAATAGTGTTTAATTAATTATAAATATTGACAATTATTGTCATTAACTAATTATTTTGATATCAGTATAGTATAAAATGCAAGTTAATTTTTTTTTAAAAGAAAATCAAGTCTTTGTTTCAATTAAAAATATTGATTTTTTAAGAAAATAATTTTTAAATTAACAGTATAATTAGGTTAAGAAAAAACCGTGCGTTAGGAATTTTTTATGTTCATTTATTTGTTTGTTTTTTCAAGGGATACACACTCATACCATATTACTTAGAAAATAATGGAACCCTAATAAAGTGAGAAGTAGGATTTGCAAGATTAGTTACTAAGATTAGCGTTAATCAAGTAATCAACCGACAAAACAAACTAATGAAGTTAAGGGAAGTTTCTTAAGAAAATGCATGTGGATTGTGGACTGTTTCTTGATCCAATAACTGAATAACACAAATTTTGCTGCAATTACCATCTTCATACATCAGCTTAACTACGGAGGAGTATTTAACCCATGTGAATTACATCAAAATGAAAGTAAACATATTCCCTTACTTCCTTTGTAGTTTGTATTGTCCTTCATTCTAACCAAAAAAAAAATTAAAGCATCACTAAAATTAATAAATTGGATTTGATCTCAAATCTTAAACATCATCTCTCAAGACTTTAACCAATTAAACCACGAAAATTATAACAATTTTATAATCTTTAAGATTGCGTAGACTAGTATGATATTTAGAGAACAACAATGAGCAGGGGTGAGAATCGATCTCATAACTTTTTAAAAATGGGAGGAAAGCTCTAACCACTTGTATTATCTCTCACTCTCACAGTTATACACTTAGATGTAACCTTAATTCGTTAAGGGTGACATACTGACATGTATATCATCATTTTCCTAAAAATAAAAACAAAACCAAAAAATCTTTTTAATTTCTTGTTTCCTCCCCCCTGCAATTTGCAAATTAACAATTCCCCATTAATGAAATGATTCTTGTCTTGAAATTGCAATAAAAATCTTCAATTTCCACCAATTTTAGATCTCCCCCCAAAAAATTAAGAAGCAGAAACAGAGAGAGAAATGGAGAATAGGGAAGAAGGAGAAGGGGAAGAAGGAGGAGAGAGAATGGGGTTGGATCAACTTCCATCAGCTTTGCTTGCTACGATTATTTCAAAGTTAGACATGGCGTCAATCTGTTCCGTCGCTTCTACTTGTCGCACTTTCAATTCCTGCGCTTCTCATATTATGACTTTCCTTCCTACTGTTCACCTCCTTGTAATCTCTCTCTTTCTCTCTCCTTCTTAATGCTTTTGTTTTATTATTTTGATTAATTTCTGTTAATTTATGGGATTTGATTCAATTCTGTGTTAAATATCAGAAAAAGTTTTGTTCTTGGTTAGTTTTGATGAGATTTGCTTTGTTTTAGGGCTAAATGATCTGCATTTTGGCTGTGTTTTTATTGAAAGTTGTCTAATTTGATGTTTCTGATGAACTAAAATTAAGTTTCTTGTGAGAAATTTGTGCCATTAATGTCATTCTTTACGAAGTATATTTTTTTGGTTTATAATGAACTTGATTCGATCCCGGGTTTTGGGTACCAACTGTATGACTTTAACTATGATACTTTTTTTTAAGCATGAAGAGGAGCCTAATTATATGGGATTTGTTGATTCATTTTGTTTAAGAAAGTAAGCAAGATAGTGGAGGAAACTGTTGAATATTTGTTCATAAGGTTATTGTTTATTTGGATGGATTTTGTTTGTTGATTTTAACAGAGCTATTGGGTTTCAGGATGTTGCACCATCAATGGATCTGTTGGCTCCCTTATTGCCCCCAAACCCTTATCTCACAAGCCTGAAAGTTGACTGTTGCCGGCTTGATGACTCTGCGATTACTCAACTCATTCGGCCCTCTTTACATGAGCTTTTTCTTCATAATTGTGGTGATTTTAGTGGTAGATTGCTCTCTGAGATTGGTGCTAAATGTCGTGATATTAGGTACGATCTTTCTTCTTTCGTTCGTTATTTTATAACTGTATCACAAGCAATCAGTGCTCATATAATGCCGATTCAGGTGATATTTTTGTTATTGCCTGACTTACTTCTAGATGTTTTGGGAATTTATGTGTACTTGTATCATTGTGATGTGTTTTTGTTTGTGTTCTGTTATGTTTATGAATGTGGTAGTATACTCTCCATTTGGCTTTGGCTGCTGTATTCGGTGATGTTGTCATCTCTTCTTTCTTGCCTTTTCCCCTTCAGGTCTCTCTACCTAGGGTGTGTGGGCGACAAAAGAGGTCGTGCAATTCATATATCTGATCTGGAGGAATTACTCAGAGGTTGCAATGAACTGGAAGTAAGATCCAACAGCTAAAGTAAATTTCTAATGACCTAATAAGATTGCTTACTGGGAGATCATTAATATTATCACAGGGAATCATAACTTCAATTTTATGATGCTATTCATCATAGAAGTATTTGCTGCTCTTTATTTTTCTAAATGACAAAACAAAATTAGTTTTGGTGAAAACTTAAATGTGCTAAAAGAGTTATGCACAGAACATAGTTTTTCTCTGTTTCACACATTTTGGCTGACTTGTACGAAGAGACACTCCTTTTCTGGCTGTGATAATCTTATTGGTGTAGTTCTATGCAAGTGGCAGAAAATATTGACAGTTCTGCTAATATGGGTTTGTGTCGTATGTATTTACAATCACTAAAGGTCACTCAAAATACATATTGACCATCCTACCCTAGTGTATACTAGACCATGTTAATGGCGGGATACATGCTGGGTGGTTTTGGTTCCTCAAGTATTGTGAGGTTTTTGACCTTAACTTCTTCTTTTGTATTGGTATAAATGATGTCTTCCTCCGTCCTTTCTTCTTTTTATTCCTCAATACTGTGATTCTGTGCCTCCTAGTATTACTAGACTACAAAGGAAGAATATTGTATCTAAGATACATCTTTCCAACCTGTGTTGACTTAATTTGTTGGAGTTCGGTGGTTGAAGCTATACTGTTTTGGTTACTTTCTCATCTATCTTATTCTGTAAAGTTGGACTTCGCACCCACCCGCTTACTTGTTAGGGATGGAGATAATATATTATGGAGCAGTAAGTTTACTTGTGTAGAGATGCATGGGTTTGGATGATTGGGCTTGGGGGTCTATAGTTTGTCAGATTGGATTACCACTATGACTTATGTGTATGATGAAGGTTAGGTAGAATGAGCATAATATGTTTGTATGCTAGTTGGTGACTTGTTAATTGGCTGTGTCATTTTGCCTAGTTGGTGTGTGGGTTTACATCTGGACCTTGATCAACTTACTTTTTGTTTATTGGCTGAGATGGGCAAACTGAGATTGAGTGAAAGCAGGTGCAGTCTGCTTAGTATCAGTTTTGACAGCCAAAATTTTCAAGCTTTATCCTCTTGAATATTGAACTGTTTGTTCCTTTTGGAGGGCAATACGGTTTTTTGTAGGAGCTATTATGTACGCCTTCCACTCTTTTTTGTTCTACTTATGAAAGTGTTCAGGGTCTAGTTTGGTTTGTGTAAGGTAGTGTTCTTGAAGAAAAGGATATTTACTGGTTCCCATTCTAATCTGTCAAATACCACGTATATTTGACCAAACTTTATCCACAGATAACGATCATTGGCTTATGTAGCTATAGAAATAATGAAGGCTCTTATTCTTGTTTTTGGACTATATGAGATGAAATGACTTGGCCCATATTGGGATGAAGTTTCCATTTATTTGTGAGATATAAATATTCTGGAGATCCTTTGTCTGAATATTGGAAGAAGAATAGTAGAATTTGTAATGGACTGGATTATACATGCCAATTGTCTATATTGAGCAGTGCTTAAACTTTCATAATGGACCATCAACTTTGTTATTCCTGTCTGATTTGTGCTCTCTATTTTGCAGACTCTTAATCTGATGTTTGATGTATCAACATTTCTTCGGCATAATTTTGCCCGAGCATGGACTTTGGCTTCTGATAAATTAACTTCTCTAGAAATCGGTTATATCTCGTCAGTCATGGTGACAGAATTGCTCAGCCCAACTCCTGGGCCTAGTCAGTTTCTGCAGCAAGAGCAGCCGCCTGTACTACCGAATCTTCAGAAGTTGTGCCTTTCTGTAGATTATATCACTGATACTATGATCAACACAATATCCCAGAATCTCACTTCATTGACTCATTTGGATCTTCGAGATGCACCTATCATTGAACCAAGGGTGACTTTTGACCTCACCAACAACGGTCTCCAGCAGATAAACCGACATGGAAAGTTGAAACATCTTTCATTGGTACGTAGCCAAGAGTTCCTCGTAACTTATTATCGTCGAGTCAATGATCTGGGTATCCTCTTAATGGCCGACAGTTGTGCAAGTATGGAAAGTATATCTCTTGGTGGCTTTTGCCGTGTTACAGATACAGGTTTCAGAGCTATTTTACATTCATGCACTAACCTTTACAAGATAAAAATATCACACGGGACTCAACTCACCGATCTGGTTTTTCTGGACATCTCAGCTACCCCTCTTTCATTAACACATGTTGGCTTGAGATGGTGTAATCTGCTGACCAATCTTGCAATTACACATGTGGCATCAAATTTGGATCTGACTGTGCTTGACCTGAGGGATTGCAGAAGCCTTGGGGATGATACTCTGATAGCAATCAGCCGTCTTCCTAAATTAAAGTCATTACTTCTTGATGGATCTGATATAAGTGATGTTGGAATTTCACATCTGAAGGAAAAGGCAGCTAGCTCACTAGTCTCTCTATCTGTTAGAGGCTGCAAGAGACTTACAGATAAATGCATCACCGCCTTATTCAGTAGCACTTCAAAGCCCGTGTTGCAAGAACTGGACTTGTCAAATCTGCCTAATCTGAGTGACAATGGAGTTCTACTCTTGGCTAAAAGCCGAGTTTCAATTTGTGAACTCCGTATGAGACAATGTCCTCTCATTGGTGACACTTCTGTCATGGCATTGGCCTCAATGCAGGTTGATGATGAAAGATGGCATGGCAACTGCCTACGTTTGCTGGATCTCTATAACTGTGGGCGTATATCCGCACTCTCATTCCGCTGGCTGAAGAAGCCATACTTTCCGAGGTTAAAATGGTTGGGGGTGACTGGAAGTGTGAACAGGGACATGGTGGATGCATTAGCTAGGAGTAGACCTTACTTGCATGTTGCTGGTCGTGGTGAGGAGCTAGGAACTGGCCAATGGGACCATGCGGATGGATTTTACATCCATGATTATGAGGAAATGGATGAACTCGAAAGATTTATCTTGGAGGGTGATGATGTAGTAAGCGATGAAGAAATGGCAGAGGGTGCTGAACTTCATGAAGAACTAGAGGAATGAAATGGCAGGTAAATTCCTTGTAACTTGAAAGCATGTCTTTGTTCTAAAATTAGCCGATTACGGCTCTAAGTTGATTTGTTGTAATTTTAGTTTTGTTCTTTTTAGAATGGTTTCAGTTTCTTGTATTATTTAAGTTGATTTGTTGTAATTTTATTTATGTTTTTCGAATATTTTTTTAGTATCTTGTACAAGTATTGATTATTGGATTATGTTGAACTGGTTGCAGCAAGTTGTATCTAATTTGTACCATGGTTATTAAATATGGTTTACAAGCAAATGAAACAGGTAATACATGCAATTTCAGCTCTTTTGTCAAAGCCACTGTTGCCCACATTAATATGTCATATACTGAATTTCTGTTTTAGACTTTTTTGAAAGTATGCTTATATGTTTGTTAGGCTTTAGCTCCTGTCTATAGACTAAATATTGGTTAGTATAGTAGTACATTGTTACTAAGCCAAACTTTGCATGTTTTGGTCAAATATCCCAGCCCAGCAGGGGAAAATCCATTGCAGGTCATATGCTGGTTCAAGCCAATTTGTTCTAGACTATGTATCATTTGCTTCGAGTTGGGTCATATTCGAGTCTGTATGTGACGATTAGCTTATGATAACAAAATCAATCAATGTTAGCCATTAATTTTCAAATCAAGTTATGTTGGTTCAATTTTAAGTTTGGGTTAAACTCGGCTCATGTAATATCAGGTGTCTTTCAGGACTACAGGTACACCCGTTAGACTCGGTCCAAAGCATTACAACTTAATTTTCATCAAATTTGGCAAGTGCGCACAAGATGAAGTTATATTCAGTCGTCTTCAACTCGTCTTGGTTTCATATGTAAAACGAAGCTCAAGTTTCCTCCTGAGTGAGTGTAAAATTACTGTTTACTGCTGAGAACTAAGCAGCAAACTTCTCATTAACTTAATTTCCTGTTTTTACCAACCCACTAAACTATATACTGGTAATATATCTCAATTCTGGAAATATGCAACACTTTTCCGTTTGCAAAGTGTGAAGAGTTGCCTTCTGTTGACAAACAAAATTCTGCGTCTCTTTTGACAAACATAACATTCGATCTTTTGCTTCAGTCCGTCACCCTATATAAACCCTCTTGCAGGCAATGGAATGATCATTGCACCATCCATTCATTCAACATCCATCTTAAAATAGTGGTGGTAGTATATGTTACTGGTTTTAACATACAAGTTCAAGAAACATACCAACCACATGGCTACCATCAGGTCATCAGCATGTATCCTAACCTTTACATTACTGCTGGGAGTTTCTTTGTTGGGAACATGCATGGGCAACAAGGAGCCAGAGCCGACAACGACACAACGTCGGGGCAGGGGTTGGGGTTGGGGTTGGAGTCGCGGTGAAGGTGCAGGTTCTCCTCAGGGACAGGGTGGGTGGCCTGCTCCTGCTGGTTACAATTTTAGCCGCAGTGGTTATCCCTTGTCTCGCAGAAATCGCACTAATGGACCTAACAGGATCATTGTAGGAGGCTCCAACAATTGGAGTTTTGGCTTCAATTACTGTGATTGGGCTTTCAAAATTGGGCCGTATTATCTCAATGATGTCCTAGGTACGTATAACATACATTTCCTGCTTTCATACTCTACTGCTCATTTTATAACATACTTCCCCTTCTCTAATTAATACATGTACTTGAATATTCGAGATGAATTAATCAAGCAAAACTTGGCCTAATCGTAAGTGTTTGGCCTCATAATAGTGAGCTATCGTTTTAAGCATGTTTTCTTTTGCTTATACGCTACTAATAATCTACTAGTAAATGTTATTTGCTGCAGTGTTCAAATATAGTGCACCAGTAAATGAGACACCAGGACACAGCATATACTTGCTTCCCGACTTCTGGAGCTAATTAAAGTGCGACTTAAGCCAAGCCAAGCAAGTAGCAACTACCACCCAAGGTGGCGGCAAGGGGTTCGAGTTCAAGCTCACCAAGTGGCAGCCTCATTACTTTGCTTGTGGAGAACACAATGGTGTTCACTCCAACCTTGGCATGATGAAGTTTTTTGTCATGCCTATCTTTCGCTACTCAAATTAATCAATCACTAGTACACCCTAGTTGTACTAAGTACTAACAACACCCGCCGATTGCTTGCTAGGGAAAATTAAAACCCGTTACTATCATACTCAATTACTATTTACATTTTGTTTTGGTTAAGTAAGTATTATTCTAATTTGGAAACAAATTCAACTATATAGTTTAATTTCTCGGTGAAAATGTGGAATTGGTTTCCGAAGGACCACCATTATTTGGTGGCCTTAAAATCACGTGTCTGTTGCTATCATAGCAAGGAGTAAGTATCTCATTAAGCCTTATCTTCGCCCATGTATCCCCTTATATTATACGAAATATATATGTACATGTAAATAAGCAATACTCCCTCTGTATTTTATTACTTGTTTTATTTCTCCATGCACAGAGTTTTAGGAAAAATAGTAGAAAATAATAAAATATAAAGGAAGTGGGGTTGGTGGAAGAATAAAATATGATAATTTGAAGAAGAGAGAATCTAAAAATATTAAAATATGATAGTTGGGAGGTCCATTATGAGAAAAGAAATTAGTAAAATATTATGAAAGGTTTCAAAAAAAGAAAATGGAGCAAGTAATAAAATACGGCTGTAAAACAAAAGTGAAGCAAGTAATAAAATATAGAGAGATTACCATGTTATGGAGTACATATGAAGCTCATCAAGATTTGTCGTTAGATTGAGAAATATTATTATGTTTTGTTACCTAATTATTGCATTAAAAACGTGTATCAATTGCGGTCTCAAGATTAAACACACATGTTAAATTATAAAAGCAGCCAAATATACATGTACCTGATCGACGTGACCGTAGCTAGTAATTGTTAGACTTACACTTAAGTAACATAAAATAAAGAATATATAGTATTATAATCATAACATGTAATGGCTATACATTATATATAAAAAAAAGGGCATATACTCCTACTGCAAAGTAGATCATACACGCTCACTCTCCAACGAATATACATTAAGTTCAAAATAAACTACCCTAAATTCTTCGAGTTGTTCATAAACAATCTTCAATTTAGTTAGTCTTGGTTAGCTATTTAGTTAGGCTGAAGCAAGAGTTTATGTACCATATCTTATAATTCGTACTTTGCTGAAAATGGGATGATAAGAACAAATTATAAGTTACACATTCAACGTTAGCATAGCAAACTGCAAGTTGGAAAACTCAAGACCCAAACAATGAATGAAGTCATTTTCTGAGGATGTAGTCAAGTAAATTTAAGACTTTATTTTTGTAATCAGCAACAAGAATTAAGACTGGTTGCATGATGTTGGAAATATTTTAATTTTCATGTGCTTTCTGCTATTACTGGTGGATATTTCCTGCCAGCTTCGTTTATTGAGATGAAAGCGTTTCTTTAGGATAAATTATAAAGTTCATCGTCTTCAATGATTCAGACTCCTCAAAGGTATATATCACATTATTTAATTAATTATTACTCCATATATTTGTACTTCCTCAATTTTTTAAAGATTGTCCTTGAACACCCAATCTTTAACTAGGGCGGAGAATAGTCACAAAATGTATCGTATATTGATATTTGTTCTCACATACCAATATAAGTTCTCGTGACACATTTAGCCCACTCAACTATACCCAGCCAAACACGCTTGACTATACGTGGAGTATCTTCTTAAAGCAATTATGGGAAATTGGGAAGTATTACAGTCCTACGGAGTACTATTCGAGATAGGTTATTATCTTTCTTATGGAGTATACTTCGTATATAATAATTATTTAGCATAATATAGTTATATTCATAGTTATAAAGATCAGAGTTAGGACTAATAAGTGTATCGGGTGGACAATTTAACCTTTATTTGCGACTAATTGGATTTTGCGGGTGAGATGGCCCAACATATTCTACGCAAAAGTTATATGGTTGATGTAGTGTTACTGATCACTTAGTACATGTAGAAGGACTAATAGTAATTTTTAATAAATACATGTCAAATTATCAACTTTTGCACAAGTACTAAATAGACACTATATATGACATATTTACAAAATGATATTAAATCGGAGCAAATATTGGAGAAGTACAATACTCCACGTATCGATTTCTCAAGAAAACGTCACATTTTTGCATGCAATGTGCTTTACATAGTTGTTTTTTTATATAAAGACTCCAGAGCCTTTTATTACTTCAATTGTGATTTGTTTGGGAAAATATTAATTAACTAATTAATTAATGGGTAATGCTATATATAGCACTTAGGGTTATGAAATGCATAAGCATTTAATTTTTTTTTAATTTGGTATTAATTTAAGAATATATGACAAAATTACGCGTAAATTATTGTAATTAATGTTATAATTATTTCGTCCCTAAATTAGAAACCTATTTCTCTTTATTATGTGAATAATAAATATTAGAAATAGATTTCTAATAAAGGGACGGAGGAAATTTTTTTATTTGTTTTTTCCAATTTTAAGTTCTTATATTTAGGCTATGTATAGCATTTTTCGTAATTAACGTAGGCGATACTAATTCATTGATTGGTTGATTGCATTCAAAGCAAAAAGTTAAAGAATACTCTGTAATAGATAGTGGATTTGTTTCAATTAATAAATTCGAATTATTGTACTCCGTAGGTCATTATGTTTAATTAGTTGGGTCTACCAAAAAGCTTGCAAGTATTCAACGGAATGGTATTGAGTTGGTTTTAGGTTGGACAATGATCGATCTACACAGCTATTGTTTGAAGTTCGCTCCGTAGTCTCTAAATGTTGTTCCAATTAATTTCATTAAAAAGTCAACATAAAAACAATAGTAGAGATAAAATGCTTCGTAGCAAATAATAAGAGATGAGTGAAGGAATCATGTACTGTACTACATTATGGCAGGGAATGTGGGTTTTTTTTTTTATTACATATTACAAAGTACGAAAGTCGCAAATTCATAAAAACTTCATCAAAAAGTGTCATATATACACAATATTTAATTTAATAGTACATACTGGTCAAAAAAAAATAAAAAATAAATAGTACATACTACAAATATACTCTTGAATTATAGAGTTGTAAAACTTTCGTAATATGAGCTGTTTATTTACGAATATATAAATGAGTTCTAATGAGCTACGTAGCTAACTCATTTTATAATATATTGTAGTTTGTGAACAATTTGCTTCTACTACATATTAAACTCAATGCTAGGCTTGCTAGCTAATCAATGAGTTCTAGTGACAGTTTATTCGGTTTTTTATGCGAATAATTAGCTCCTACATATCAGAAGACTCTAATAGAATAATAGAATGAGTCATCTATAAATCTAAAATGTTATACCAATTTAGTAATTGACACTAGAATAATACTTAAATCGAAAGTAAATAATGAATTAACTTATACAAGTATAAAAACAAAAATAATTATGTAAAAATTGAATGGATATCCTATGTTTGTTTAGCTTTTATTTTACAGGTTGCAATTTGCAAAAAAGTTGAAGTATAAAATAATGCAAAAAAACATAAAATAATGCAAAATTGCCGACTGCAAATTAGAAGAAGAAAAGCAGTGGGTGATTACTGACACCTAATTCGTAGGTATCGACCAATGATTCCATTTATGATGCGAATCGTCCAAGTAAAAGCCTTACTTGCCATGTGAGTGTGCAACGATTCGATGCTCAATGCTCAATGCTCATTGCCTATTTTCCGCGTATTTTCGCCCAACAAAATAATGCAACAACAAGATTTTCTATACTATTATTAGAACTTTCAAGATCTATAAATCTCTAAAACCCTTCTAAAAAAAATCCCTTTATATTATTATTATTTGTAATATTGAAAAATAAATAATTTACTCTTATGTTTATCCGCATTTTCACACGGTTTATAATCTTTGTTATTCGTTATTCCTTCATTCTATGATCTTTATTTGTTTTTACTAGTAAAGAGTTCAGTATTTATTTAAATGGTTAGTCAAATAAGATCTTGTTTATGACTTGTCTCAATGTAATTTTATAAGTATTAGGCCCTGTTCACTTCACATTAAAAAAATAATATTAAGTAAAAATAACTTTAGTTCAGTAAAATAAATTCAGTTCAATAAAATTCAGTATCTTTAAAGAAGAAATATAATAGAAAATCAGTATAAAAAAAAAAAAAAATCAGTTCAGTAAAAATAATTTAAGTTCAGCAAAACCATTTCAGTAAAAATAATTTCAATTCAGCAAAAATAAGGTGAAGTAAACAGGGTCTTATTTTAATGTTGTGATAATTTGAATCGTTCTCGCTTTCGTGTCTCACCAGAGTCTCTCTCCAAGAGGTGAAGATAATTTCTTAACGTACAAATTTAATGATATTTATGTTCAGAGCTTATCTTGAAAAATGCGGGGAAAAAAATAGCACTTAATTTACCAAATAATCCTTAGAAAACAAGTCTAATACTACGGAGTACTAGATTTAATTATAAGGCATCGCTATCTCTTTATATGAAAAATGAAAGAGATTCTTTGACTGGATTTCTTCTAATGGAAGATGATTATTCGAGGAAAATGCTTTCAAAAACTTTCATCAAGTTCAATAATTTCTTCGACAATATCTTTGGCATCGCTTTCACACTTAGTTGTTTGTTGAACATAACACCTTCTGGCATCTACTAGACAATTCCCTGATAGTAGCTCATGACAATTGTCAACTTTATAATTACTTCTTGGCAGGACTAACTTCGTCTTATGTTATCCATGAGTAGACCTTGGGCGGGTAAGAGCATATTGATACGGGTTAATAACAATCATAAGTTCAAACAATATTTAAAGCTTATAAGTTATGATATGCAGTACAAGATAAACAAGGGTTGATAAGTTCAAATAATATGAGATATGATGAAGTACTCGGGTATAAAACAAGGGTCAATAAATTCGACTGAGAAATTTAAGGATCAATTTTACAATAAGATAAAGTGAAATTTAAATGAAAAAAAATCTACCAAAAATTATATTAAAAGTTTTATGTGGGCTATATATGCACTCTATATATCCATGATAAAGCAATACGAGTAATAATTATGACATACGAAGTATAATTATTCACATATACTTGTATATCTCATGTACGGACAACGGACCTAATTAATTATTTGGTTATATTTTTGCCAGGTATTAAGCTTCCAACGTCAAATAGTGGATTTAATAAAGGTTACAACTACATATCTTTCAACATGAACAGTATAAGAGCGTTACGTTGTTCTAATTATCATCACCATTATTTGATTTTATTGACATAATAAACACAAGCGGCATGACATGTATTTAGGGTACATTTTATTTACATTGATCAGGACTTAGCCACAACTTTATTGAAATTTTTTATATATACCCAAGT